CATTACACGTAGATACGAACATTTTCTTTGTAAACAAACGGTCGTCATTATATCTCATCCTGTAATGGGTGCTACAATAAACAACCGTCTCAATATCTCGTTCGGTATGAGCGACACTATAAACTCTTAATCTTTTCTGGTATGAGACTTCTCAGCCCTGTATGACTGAGGAAAACATTCACAGTATGATTCACCTTATGCATTAAGTCTATACACTCTTTCTCATGACACTCAGTAAGCTCTTTTCATTTAATAACATTAGTTCATGCATATTTTTTTTTTATTTACTATTCAGTCTCAAATGATACGTATGCTCGTATCTCCAAGCAAGACAAAGATATGAAATTTATATTTCAAAATACAAGAATGAAATAAATATACATTATGCTAACCGAAACATATTATGCGCAAAATAGAACAACGAAAAACATAGATTAAGGCAAATAAATTGTAGTAATTTAAAACAGGACAAAGTAAAAAAAATAAGCACAATAAAACGACTGAAGAAATAACTAACACAATTAAATAAATATAAACTGACCAGTTATTGACTCCATCGACAACTTGTACTTAATTAATCAAGGAATTGTCAATTATCTAAAATTTTCATTTATTATTAATTTAACTTCAATTTCACCATAACAGAAAAAATGGGCGAGGAATTTTTACTCTGGATCGGTGTTTGGAACATTGTTTTCTTCATTACGGTTCTCGACGGTTCACAGATCTTAAATTTCTTAAATTTTTATGATAATATTGAAACGTATGTTAAAATAGCGTAAAAATATGCAATGAATGATGAAAAAAGGGCAAAAATCTCACTGGGAGTCGGGTTGGGGTTCTTGCACGGCAGCGCAGCCATGCTCTGTCACCTTATCCTCCTTCTTCGGTGGCTCTTTCTCTCAGTTATATTATTTTTGGTTGGTTCTTGGTGAAAATCTGTTTAAATCGTAGTTAAGGGGTGTTTCTCGTCAAAAGGAGGAAAAAATATGTGCTTACTGGCAATTTCGGTCCTCTGGTGTGGCGGTTTAGCCGAGCTCTGTCGTTCCTTCCTCGCGGTTTGTGGCTTCTCTCGGCCACTCTACATCAAAAACACGTTAGGCAGCTAAGGGTGGAGAAACGGAAAGAACGGGAAGAAATTTTGACTTACCGGAGTGTTTTCGGTGTTCCGACACAGTGGCACTGGCGTTCCTCCAGTGCTGAGTCTCCTTTCGGCTGCCTTTCTTCTTCTTCTCCAGCGAGGCGTGTCGGCTAGAGTTTAAAGAGTCGGGTAAAAAGGTTTAAATATCTCACATCTCCTAATCCTGACTGTCCAGTGTGGGTCGACATGGAGACTAGGAGCCGTCTAATCCCACTTATTTGGGAAACGAATCTGAACCGTTCGATTGAAGACACATGGACCATTCGATCAAGCTTGTTCGAAGAATTGATCTGGGTTGTTCGTGCACGCAGGAGTGCCCTCGAGCCGTTCGATCGGCCTGGCACGCAGATTGCTCGCGTAGAACCCGTGACAGCGTGATCCGCGCGGCAATTCGTCGTGCCGATGACTGGGCATACACGTGGTCTGTATTTTCTTTTTTTTTTTGCGATTCGGTCCTTGTTTTCAAATTTTTCTTTCAAACATACTCTCTTTATTTATAGTTTGGTTATAACTTTTGAAAATTGTTTAAAAAACGTTCAAAATGCATATGTTTCAAAAATAATAATAATTAAAATTAAAACTTGTGTATTTATTATTATTTATAAAAGAATTAAAATTCATCATTCCGAGCTCAATTCTCGGACTCGGAGTGTTACAGAGAACTTTAAAAATTTTATATTTTTTTAAAGAATAGTAGAGTATTTAACCATTTTAAAAATATAAATAAACTAACAACATATGTCAAAAAAATAATAAATACATTTCAAATCTTATTTTTAATTTTTTAAATATTACAAACCAAAACCAATTCCCAACCAAATCAATATAAATTAATTAAAATACATTCGGAAACAAAAAGTAAAGTAAAGTAAACCAGACTAGCAGTCAAATACATACCCCCAAAACAATTTTTCTCATAAAAAATCCAAAAATCTTTTCAAATCAATATTCAAATAACTTCTTTGAACAATAAAAAATTAAAAAATTAAAAAGATTACATTAATATGTAAATTATTATTTTTAAAATTATTTTAAGTGATCATATCGTCTGATTATTTTTTTTAATTAAAAAAATAATATTTTTATTATCATAAGTTAAAATCGTATCAGTCGCTATATAATATTATATTTTAAATTAATTTTATTTTAAAAACAAAGAAAAATTTAATACGGATAAGGGTTTGCCAAATTTAAAATTATTATAATATTATTTTAATTCTTAATTCCAAATGATATGATGCATAATCAATTACATTAGCGTCCACGTGAAGCTTTTTTGTAGTGGCCCATTTGGACCCAAGAATTAGAATATGCTACTCGATTCGGTATTGGACCACCTTGACCGATTGATAATTTGTGAAATTAATTACGTCATAATAACTACTAATTCTTCTATTAAATAAATATTTTGTTTCAAGTTTTTGTGCGACAAAACTAAATTAATTCCCACCTAACCAACCCATTCCTTGATGTACAAGAAAAGCTTCAAACTCTGACCTTATCCTTATTTTGCAATAATATTTTTATTCTTTTATTAAATATGGGTTTAAGTCCTAAGTATAAATTTTATGTATTAATTACCAATTAGTATTTTTTAAAACGTTTCAGTAAGAAAAGAATGAAATTTTATATTTTTTTTAAATAAAATTGTAGTTAAAGTTCAATTATATATTTCATTAATTATGTTATTATTAGTATATAAAAGATACTTAATTATCAAAATATATTAATTTTTATTTAAAATAATCGTAATTAATTAATTTTTTTTTTTTTGAAGTGAGGAAATGATAAAAAGAAAATACAAAAGCCGACATGTTAAAAAAAGAAAGAAAAAAAAAAGTCAAGGTCGGCAACTCAACTGTACTAAATGATGAAGAAGCTTCCCGGAACCAAAACGACACCGATTCATTTCACCCGGACATACAACAAAAATATATATCCCTATAGTTGACAGCGACCTGTTTTTGTACCAGTTGTCTTCTGGTTTTTAAAAAGTGAAATTTAAAGAAACGGCGGCTTTTGATTTTTCCAGTTTATCGCTCGCTCTCATTATGTTTGTTTCTTATACGTATAGATTGTATGTATAGGTGTACGTATACAGCCTTAATTACAAGAGTCAAATCCAATTAGCCACCAAACCCATTTTCATTTTTACGAGTCCATGGTAATATTAACACACCCATTTGCCCACTTTGGAATTATTTTTAATCATTAACCCAACTACTAAACATTAATTAATTAAGTAATTAATCAACTAATTAATTAATTATGATAAGTGAGAAGTGTCCAAGCAACTTACATATCAAACTGTAGTGAGTCAATAATTCACTGCTTTTTCAACGCTGACTCTAACCATTTTCACTCTCTTTACTTTCACTGCAAAGTAAAATTTTAAATATATATATATGTATAGTTGAGTTTGTAACAACTGAATGCAAACGTTGCATTAAATTGACACATTCAGCCGCATATGTATATATAGATATAAGTACATATATTTCACATGCACGTGTGGATGATATATGTGACTTCAAGGTTGTAAACTTGTTCTAACTTGATATACAAATTTTGTCCCATACGTACATATATATATATATATGTATATTAAGAGAAGTAATAATATTTTAATTATACATGCTGCAGCTCGAAAAAGTGGAAGCATTATCAGAATGTTGAATTGTCTCGCACGTGCACACACACACACATATATATATATATATGCACATATATTCTGAAGATTACATCAGTCTTTTTATTCTTAATTTATTTTTTTTTTCCACTTAAATTCTTTTTAAAATATTCATCCCAATGTATAATAATAATAATAATTTATTTTGCAAATAACTGTAATAAAAAAATGTACTGTTCTTAGTAAATCATTGTATATTATATATATATATATATATATATTTTTTTTTTACTGAAAGGAATGTGGGACCCGCATATAGAAGACAAGTGGGGGGACAACTGTGGCCGACACAAAGATTCATTGGGGACTTTTCTGTTTCTTAATTTTGTTTTTTTTTTTTGTTTGTCGTTTTGAATTTTAAGGTAAATTAAGGAAATCCAACGGAGAGATGACGTTAGTTTCCGTTGAACATGACGTGTACATCAAATCCACCGTTGAAACGAGTTATGATCTTCTGCTCTCAATCTTATCCCTCGTTCGTACGCCCTCGAGTTACATTCCAAATCTTTTTCCTAAAAAAATTTATTAATGATTAATTATTAGCAAGTCTAATGATTAAGATCTAATTACTTGAATTAGAATTTTATTAAAAATATAAAATTTATTATTTTATAATTTAATATGCACATAATATTAATTTAATAAAATATAAAACAAAATATATATAGAGAGACACGTGGCAGAAAGTGGATGGATTCGAAACATAGGTGCAGAAGCAGAGAATTAAGTGGATGATGACTAAGAAGTCAATGGACGTGGCATTGACTGTCAACGAAGATTTTTAAAAGCGTCCAACTCGAGTGACGAAAGCAGTGACAGAATCACATTACCGCAATAAAAACAGTCGTCTACCGGCCATTAGAACGCCACGTGTCCCTCTCCACGGCGGCGTTCAACCTAGCAAGAAAAACGGCAGGCTTGAGCTTCTGTATCTTTTCACCCCACGTTTTTGGGACCACACACGCGCTGACAATACGTGCGGCCCACGTGTGTAAAATTCCTCTTGACAAACTTGCTATAAAACCCAGAAGACTCATTCAGCTTCATTGATAATTCGTCAACAAGAACCAGAAGCAAACCCTACCTACTCTCACCACCACCACCACCACCACACAGAGAAAGAAGAGATTTTGCAGAAGAGAAATGAAGGGAGGAGAGATTGAGTTACCTCCAGGTTTCAGATTTCACCCCACTGATGATGAATTGGTCAATCACTACCTTTGCAGGAAATGTGCAAACCAGCCTCTCGCAGTACCTATCATTGCCGAAATCGATCTCTACAAGTTCGATCCCTGGCAACTTCCAGGTATATATATATATATATATGTATGTATGTATGTATGGAGCTCTCAATATTTCTTTATTACCTTGGATTTAGAACACTTGGCAACTGGTTTTTGGTGTTTTAAATCCTTTCCTCTGTTTGTTGATCGAGCTCGATTTCACGGATTAGAGTTTTCAATTTTAATCAACGAAGCTTCCAATTGACAAAATCATCATAATTCTCTCTCTGTTTCTTATAATTACTGTACAGTGAATTGAGAATTTACATTAATGATGAATGATTTTGATTCAGGGGTTGCGCTGTACGGAGAAAAGGAGTGGTACTTCTTCTCGCCAAGAGACCGGAAATATCCGAACGGGAGTAGGCCGAACCGGGCGGCTGGAACCGGTTACTGGAAAGCAACAGGGGCGGATAAACCGATTGGGAAACCCAACACATTGGGCATCAAGAAGGCACTCGTCTTCTACGCGGGAAAGGCACCAAGAGGCATCAAAACCAATTGGATCATGCACGAGTATCGCCTCGCTAATGTTGATAGATCTGCTGGCAAAAGAAACAACTTGAGGGTACCTTCTTCTTCTTCTTCTTCTTCTTCTTCCCTCTGTGGTTTAATTTCCCAAAATTTGATGAGTTATAACATTGTTTTCCTGTTCTGTAATGCAGCTTGATGATTGGGTATTGTGTAGAATATACAACAAGAAAGGAAGAATAGAGAAGCACGATTCTTTAAGCTACCCAGAAGCGGTTGAGCAGAAGCCAAACATTCTGGGTTCAGTCCACAACATGGTCCGTCCAGTAGACCACATGGAAGCCTCTGATTCCATACCCAGGTTGCACACTGAGTCCAGCAGCTCGGACCAGGTGGTGTCTCCAGAGATGAGATGTGAGAGAGAGGTTCAGAGCCATCCCAAATGGGAAGACTTGGGTTCATTGGATTTTCAATTCAATTACTTGGATGGGTTTCAAGATGACCCTTTTGGGAGTCAGGTCAACTTCCCTGTTGATCAAATATCCCCATTTCAGGACATGTTCATGCTCCTACACAAGCCATTTTAAAGCTCATTGCCCTTACTCACACGCCCCTAAAACATTAATATATATATATATATATAAAAAAAAAACATTTGGGTAGCTAGCCCATCACATTCTTATATATCTGAAGTATATAGACATATTGTAGAATCCATAGGAGATTCAATGGTCGGTGGGGAAGAAGAAAGATTGTGTATCAGATGCGGACTGGTGTATGATAACATGGCTGCAGTTTGACTATAATTGGTCGACCTGAGCCGCTGGCGAAATCCGACGGTAGATGATGATGTTAATATGTGATGTAATGTTAGACTAGGGAATTCTTTAGTGGAAGAAAATTTTTTCATTTATACCACAAAAAGCATAATGCAAAAAGCAAAAGCTGAAGCTGGAATTCTCAGTCAAACTTTTTGTTTTTCTTTTCTGTAAATTGTGATGTGGATGGGGGGATTAACATGGACAGAGGTCAACGTCTGATTTAGATAGGATCACAGCATTAGATGAGGACTTTTTGTTAGTTCTCAAAGCGAATTAATTATGTATGTCAAATGTAAATTCTCTTAATTGTATGTAGCATTTGAGCAACACATTACAGTGGAAGAGGCAATTTTATGAACTAAACTAACAATTATACATCATGGACTAACATGTCCTGGATTATATACCTTATCAGTGTACATACAAATGATTATATTCTACAATTTTTACTCCTCCTGTGATAGTTTCTATGTGGATAGAGGTGATAACCCAAGTGCACAGTATAGAACAGTATAAATAACATCCTTTCATATTCATCAAATGTTGGTAGTTCTGGACTTAGGAATCTGATCACAGTTTGCTCCCACCCATCCGATTGCTTGCTTTTCATTGTCGTAAATCACCATCCTATCTTGCATCGATATATCTGTTGGAATAACAAAAACAAAATTTGTTTTTAACCCACAAAAGCTGCCAGTTTTCGTATTTAATCTCAGGGATACGGAGAACCTATTTACCTCCAATGAGGTTTATGTCTTGCAACCCAGCTTCAGTGCCATTCAGAATTCCCAAGCAAACATTTCCCTTCATCTGCAGCCATACATTATTACCACTCTTGATTCAACTAAGAAAATCTGATAACAAAAATGAGAAGCAACAAGTGTATATGTATTTAAGATGGTAGTTACTGATATTATGAGATAAGACTCGGGGTGTAATTCGAAATGAGTTTTGGATCTCCATCCCCTGCTGAAGCTTAGGGACAAAGACTTGAAGTATTTCTTGACTTCGCGTATATTTTTGAAAGGTTTACGCCCTTTCCAACAGAGTGGGAGGGTATCATCGTCCGGAGCTTCTTTTAAGGGCTTTCCAGTTAGTTCTCGCTTTATCTATACAAACAGAAAGAACAAATATAATTAACTGAGGTACAATGAATGAAATATTTAACTCCATGGTAATAATTCAATTATGTCTTCTTAGTTCAACACCAGAGATTGGAGGATTAAGTTAAATTGTTTCTTACTCACCAAATATGTTAAAGCTTCATATGCCTGCAAATTGAAATAAGAATAGGAGCTTCCACTGTCAAAAACTACGAGTAGATTTTTAATCCCAGTGGTTTTCCCACCAAAAGTGAGTTCAGCATCCCCAAGTGAATAATGTTGACTAGACATTAAGAGAAAAAGAAAAAAAGAAAAAAAGAAAATAGCAAGAGGCACATATTAGCCATAATGAAGAGAAGATCGTCATATAATTATAATGAAAAACAGTGGGAACTGAAGACAGAAAATGAGAAAGAATTTATTACGGATGGTTGCGAGACATGGATGTCCAAGTTACATGTCTAGAATCATAAAGATCATCTCCAAAGAAGAGATATCCTCCTTCTCGTCCGCTCAGACAGTGCCCGACAACATTCTTCACCAAACCCTGCCCATGAAGCTGTGAGAGGATGCTGGCTTTTCCTTTTCCCAGGCCAAGCACACCATCTAAGGGATGATGAGATGCACCAGGAAGTTGATCATACCCACATCTGTAAAACAAGGTTCAGGAACTTTTGTCTGAAAAACCTTCCACTTCTCACCTCAAAAATTTCATGTACCACAAATATGAAGTGCCAAAAAAAGCATAGCCATGGAAGTACAACAAGCTATAATATGTTTTCAGTTCAAAACACAATAGAAACTAAACCAAATTTACTTGAAGAAAACAGGCAGTAAACAAACCCAAGTGCTAAACGAGGTTTAATTCGTATTCCGTTTGAGTAGTTGAGTGCAAAGACATCTCTGAGGAGAACACCAAGGGATGATCCTCCATCTGCATACTCAACTTCATAATCACATTGCTCCGGGTCTTGACATTGATGATTACCCGGTGAGTGCAAGGCAATACAGAGAGGGTCATTAGAAGGTACAAGATCATTGCTTGGTCGGTACAGGGGATGAGGTGTCTGCAATAAGTAAGATCTATAAATTCCAGAGGATTCTTCAGAAATTAGTTTTAAGTAGAATGACTGCACACATGATTTCATAAAATGAAAATGTGGGATAGGGGAGAGGGGAAGTCAACTAAAATCCTAATTTGTCAAGACCATGTAAAGAGTTCCATTAAGAAAGATGATTTTAATTTTATTCCTTACCTTTTCCATTCACTGTTAAAAGACAAAATGGGAGCGCAAATCATTAAATTAAAGCAAAAAAAGAGAAGGGTATAATAATGGAGAAGAAAAAGATTATGTATGATTGTTGAAAAAGATATAAAGAGGGAATTTATACCTCGGTACAGGAGACACAGGGAGCATCACACTGCAACCATGTGAGATCACTACCAGTGTCAAGATCCAGAAAGTAGGGTTTTGGTGGGTGACCTATATACAGGGTGACATTATAGTACCTGTCCTCAACACCCAGGTAGAGAAGAGAAACAAAAAAAATTAGAATTGAATGACAACCCAGAATAAAACTGATCAGAATATGAGTTAATGTCATAAAAAATTGAAGTAATGGGTGATGGTTCATCTATACTTCTAAGAAATATGCAGGTGTATATGTTCGTCCTCTTGCGCATACACACATATACATACATACATATATATATATATATACACACACACATAAATACATACCCAGTTGGATAAACATTTCCGTGAACTGGGAATACAAGGGAGGAACCGGCTCTATTGAGCATCATAGACGACATCGTTTCGGTTGGTTGTGCTGATTTCCTCCACCATTTCCGATCAGAAGCTAAAGAGAAGCCCAGAAACAGTGATAGCATCAGGAAACCCAGCCAGCTCCTCCCATTTCTCATCTTTTTCTTTTAACTATTTTCTTTAATATTCTCAAAAAATAATTTAATTAATTTTACTGCACCGAGTGTTCGATAAAAAGACCAGAAAAATCCTTTTAAAAGAAAAGGGCAGAGCCAATTTACTGTTATTGGCTTTTTTGTGTATGAGCTAGACAAGTCAAAGTTCTTTAAGGGGTATTTAATTGAAGAAGATGAATGTATTTTTCTTGGAAATCAAGAAAATTTCTTCATGGGTATTGCTTGTGAGTCTGAATTTTGTTAATTACCTTGCTTTTTTATTAGGTTTTGAACTTCATAAGATTTCTTCTAATCATTGTACTGATTAGGTTCTGGATTCTTTTCCTTCCATTGAAAAACAGGAGGATTGTAATGGTGGGTTTGGGAAAAGATTCAAGATTATTAATTTCCTCTCTATTTTTTTTTTTGTGGGTCATAAAATTGAATCAAAAGCTAACTATTTCATAATTCCTATAATTAATAAAACAATGACAAAAGTCAACAATTTCTTTTAGCAGTAGTTTCTAAGAACCTTCCTTGAACACAAAAAACAACAATCTCCTTACTAAACAAACAAATTGATGCAGACAAAAAAAAAACAAAAATCCAAATATTGCTATTTGTTGATCATCTAAAATCCTAAATGTGTTAGTATTTTCAGTAGTATTTATATATTAGATTTAGTAATTCTTTATTTTTATTAGCTATATAATATTTTTTATTTAATTAGATTTAGTAATATTTTTATTAGCACTTCCCTCAGAGCTTTTTGAAAGTTTTATTGGACTATCTTGAGTTAGATTTTGACATTTCTAAAACAAAAAATTTTTCAAAGATAAAAAATTTAATTAGTATTATTTTAAATTATGTGTTTATATATTTTCAAAATATATTCATGTTTGTTTTTTAAATTCTAGTCATATTTTCCTGGTAATCTACAAAAATTAAATATGATTTAACATTTATTTCAAAAATTAAACTGAAAGTAACAAATATAATTTTATAACAAGATAGATATGATGTAATTAATATTATTTTGTTTAAGAAAATTTAATATCTTGTTGAAGAAAACTCATTGAGGAGAGTATTTTAATTCATTTACAATATTAAGAAGGCTGTTTTCATCTTTTTATGTATTTTCTTAGCAATGATATAATACAATATAAAACCCATTTATAATTCTTAGACAAATATTCAGTATCTACATATAATGCATCCTTAAAATAACCATATTATAATGTTTTTAAAGTAACTCAATCATATTAAACTACAACATAAACCCTTAAAGTTAAAATTTTCAATACATTTGTTGATTAGAGAACACCATCCATGAAATAGATTTTTTGCAAAGAATTCATGAACACTGAATAGTTTTCATGGTAGATTCCATATAATTTACAATTTGAAAATCTCTTTATCCTAAAACTCCATATAAAAGATCTATGTAACAGTCTCATTATAACACTTCCTTAATCTAATTCCTTACAGAATTGTAACAAACTCCATATGATGCTGAATTACAAGGCAAACAACAATTTTATATTAACTGACACATCAAAACTGCATTTAAGAGGTCTATCTTGTCACTGAATTCAAGGCTGCGTTGCTATTGCTTCTGAGCATTCAGCCAATAACGCCCAGGAGTTCCAGTTGCAGCTGATCTTGCCCTAGTAATCCTTCCCTGGACTAAGTCAGGAGGTTGAGTCAGCGGGATATTCTGTAAAACCAATGATTCCTCCAAAGATGCAGCTGCTTTCGGTTTTGTAATCCTCCCCAGGTTTGAAATTTTTTCTTCCGGTAATTGCTGGAGCATCTTCCTTGATAGGAAGAGTGACGCGTTCGACGTTGTACCTTGTTCTGGTGTCAAAGGATTGTCTTCACTTTCATCTTGCAGCTGCTTCTCTTCTAGATAAAAATGACGCTGAGAAATCGACAAGACACCTACATTTGTACCTACCACTGGTTTCAGTTTAGAAGGCCTTCCTCGATGTCTTTTCTTATGCTGCTGCTCATTTTTCAGATGATCTGAGAGCATGTTTACCTCCATAGTAACATCTGTCTTTTTCTTTGGTTTAGGAGGCCTCCCTCGGCCTCGATGCTGCAACTGCTGCTGCTTATGTTGAGACAACTGATCTGAGGGCGATGGTTCCCCCATAACACAATCCATATCACCCCTTAATTTAAGAACATTTGCTTGATCTTGAGATCCCAATTGCCCCTGCTGCTCATTTTTCAGATGATCTGAGAGCATGGTTACCTCCATAGTCACATCTGTCTTTTTCTTTGGTTTAGGAGGCCTCCCTCGGCCTCGACGCTGCAATTGCTGCTGCTCATGTTGAGAACAATGATCTGAGGGAGATGGTTCCCCCATAAAGCAATCCATATCACCCCTTAATTTAAGAACATTTGCTTGATCTTGAGATCCCAATTGCCCCTGCTGCTCATTTTGATGGAGGGATTGAAATGATTCTGCCATGGTTTTGTGGGAGGCCAATTCAGGCCTGGAAGGGTCTTGGTCCTCAGGCTGCAGTTGTCCCTTCACATGCTGGTTCTGAGTAAATTCCTCAACTGCTGCAAGATCAAGGCATTCAGAACTCTCCTGAACTTGAATACCCATAAGAAGTTGCTCAGAAACAGGGCTTGAATCAAGCGAAGTTGTTTCTGGCTGGCATGTGAGCTGCTCTCCTTGATAATTGCATCTTAGTTGTTCCACTGGACAAGATGAATCATCCACATTCCGGTTACCAACGAACAAAAGCATTTCAGAAGTTAGAGGCTCCGGCTGATGATTAAGATCCGGTTTTAACGAAGCATGAACCAAATCAGGATCAGCAGTAGCAATAGTGGAAACAGACTCGAGTTCAGATAGCTTAAGGCCCCAGCTATGATCTTTCGCTGGTTTTCCTTTTGGATGTCCTTCAAGATTTTCTAGTCGATTCTCAGTCTCAAGTTGCTCCAAGTTCCTGCGTGACACATTTTGATAAGTTTTCCGCATTGCTGGCCCAGAGAGGGCCATTTCTCTTCCGACGCCAATGTTTTGCTCCAATGTTTTAATTGCCTGAATCCTTTGCTGCCTTTCCATTTTCATCCCCTTGTCAAGCAATGATTTATCAGGCACATCAGAGGGAAAACATAAAGATTTTGATTGGCATATGGATGTATCCCGCGGATCGCAACAGAGATCTGACTGCTTCTGTCTTCCAAGTGACTGCTCCAATATAGCTATTTCAACTTCTGGAGGCCTTTTCAGATTTGGAATCTTAATATTCTGTTTCTGCTGGTGCAGAGATTGGTCTGTATGTGCATCTAGAAAACTTACCATTGGTTTTAGCTGGTAGCTGACGGCCTTCTGCTGGCCATTAATCTCTCCTTGCTTCTCTTCTTGAATTTCAGAGGTAGACCCCATCACGGGATTCCATTCCCTGCAAGGCCTTGTTGTTTGCATTAATTCCCCTTGGAAAAGTTCTGTCTGCTTACCTCTCACCTCAACTTCGCTAAAAGTGCCAATAATTTTAATTAGCCGTCCCCCAATCTTATTTGCCTTCTTCAACATTTCTACGCACCCTTCCTATACCAATCAAATAGAAATTTTTTTTCGAAAAAGAAAAGTACATTAGAAATTAATCAAGTGAAACAGGATTTTTGTATGATGTAATCCACTTTCTATCTCACCTTTGATATGAGTAATGAACCAGAAAAATCAAGACTCTGACTTGTGAGAGACAAACTAGGGCCAGCCATAACAGCTCCATCTCCCTCTTGCTTGTTGGTAAACTGTTCTAGCATTTTTCTATTATTCAACAAGAAAAGGAAATTCACGAATTATCATAACTTCGTCAGGACAGAAATAAATGAGAGCTCATAATAACAATGGCTCACCTAAGGTCAAGAATGTCAGAGTATATTTCTGTTGCTGTTCCTGAAGTCTTTTTGCTGTTTGCTTATTTCAATTTGAGCTTCCATTTCGTTCTGTTCAATCACTTGATTTTGCATTTCCCAGGATTGCACTTGTTCTTCAAAATCTTTAATTTGTAGATCTTCTGGTTGACTTTTATCTTCAATTTCAATTTCTTCCCTCAAATTTTTTTCTTCATAACGCAGCTCTTGAATCAGATTGCCTTCCTCTTCTTCCAAAAATACTACCGTAGTTACTTCATGGTTCTCTTCTGCTTGATCCTGCTCTTTACTGTGCATCTTTGGTACACCAACTTGCTGTTTATCCAATCCATTTTGCAGGTGATTTTGTTTTTCTTGGGTCTGATATCTTTTTCTACTCATTTTATTTCCCCATTCTGTTTCATTTCTTTCACTGCTTTCTTCAACATGCTCACCCATCAATTTAACTTGGCCTTGTTCCTTGATTGCTTTACTTTGTTGTTCTTCCATTTTCCTTAGTTCCTCGGTGCTCCTGAATCCTTTCTCATGTGTAGAGTTATCTTCATTCATTTCCATAATCCCATGTTTATTCTGTTCACCTGACCGTTTAAGTTGGTCTTGTTCTTTGATTTGTTTCATCTGTTCTTCTGCTTTTCTTTGTTCATCAGAGCTCTTGAATCCTTTCACATGTGTAGGGTTCTCTTCTTCAGTCCGTTCTGCTTCTTGCTCATTTTCTATACTTTCTCCTTGTGTTAGGCCAGCAAACTCTTCAACTTGTCTTCTGCATGCTTGATTTTGCTCTGTCACAACTCCAGCCTCCCTTTCTTCAACCAGGCTTTGTCCACAATTAACTTCTTTCTTATGTGGTTCAATTAATTCCATTGCCGATTTTTGTAATGGATTGCCATCCTCAAGATCTTCAGATTGAGGTAAAGCTTCTACATTCTGTTCTTTGCTTTCAGATTTATTCTCCACTCCAATTAGTAAATTCTTCTCTGCTTCAATCTTGCGTCTACCAATTTTCCTACTCCTGGAATGCCTTCTCACTTGCTTGTGCCCCTTCTTTACCTTACAATGAGAATTAGTATTTGCAGAAGGAAGCCTATAACAGCTCGTAGAAGCACGGATTATTTCTTCTTTGTCAACAAGATTTTGTAAATGATGATGCAATAGACCTGCATGAGCACAAGGTAAATCCTTATACTCTGCCTCAATGAACCTTGATATTGCTTCCTCACTGGATCCTCCATCCTCATTCAACTCGGAAATCGCCCTCCATATCATCTATGCAGAACAATCAGAAATACAATCAAGATAATAACAAATGAATAAGTATTAACTTCATATGCAAATACTGCCGGAGAGAGTAATACAGCAGCATATGTTGGGTGGTCGGGAATGTGAGACAAAGGAAGCCTCGAGAGGTTTTCTTGAATGAGCTTCATATTGCACGGTATAGAAGGAT